AGGAGGAAGGAGCGATGAGGAAAACTCCTGGCGGCGCTGCCGGGGCGCCGGCAGCAAAGTGAAGGTGGAGGTGGAGGTGGAGGTGAAGGTGAAGGTGAAGGTGAAGGTGAAGGTGAAGGTGAAGGTGAAGGTGAAGGTGAAGGTGAAGGTTCGCCATGGCCTCCGCGGCGCCCGGCCCGGGAGCAGCAGCGCGGAGCAGAAGGAGGAGAAGAGCAGCCCTGTGGTGGGCGCAGCCATGTCGGTCGGACCCCACAGGTGAGAGCGGAGCCGCCACCAAGGGATGAGGGGAAGAGCCGGGAAAAGCAGCGAGATCCGGGTGGCGGCAGGGCGGGAGATGCTGTGGGCGGGCAGAGTTGAGGGCTGGACAAGCTCGAAGCTCGTCCTTAAGTTAAATTTCAGCAGTCTGTAGGGAACCCTGTTCAGGAAAACCTGTATGCTATTTTTTTTTTTTTTTTGTGCCAAGCCGTTTCTGCAGAAGGCATAAGAATCCGCTTTTTATTTATCCTGACTGTGGAAACCCCTTTTAGTGTAGCTCCTTCACTTGCAATGTGTTCAGGTATTTTGATCAAAAAGTAGCGGCGAAAACCCCCAAACTCTGTAATAATTGTTGGTGTCTTGACGAGTGACAGCTTCTGACCGTACTCTTTCTGTGTGGAACAGGATAGGGAGCTCAGACCCATGGAGCAAGGCGTTTGGCTGGGTTTCTGCAGAAGCAGGGTTTCCTCTATTTTTAATGTTAAATGGAATGCATTTTTCAAGGACTTTCCCTGCCTTTCTAGAGAGGTCTTTAGAAACGACTGACATGTTATTCAGATGGTGACAGTCATAATTTTTGAGTACACCTGCAGAGCAAGCGTGCTTATTTCCTCTATGAAAGCGTTTTGCTTGCATAGTCTGCAGCTATGTAGAACTGAGCAATTTCCTAGTCATGCCTCCAAATAGTTTATAAATGTTTTCAGTTCCTCAAGTTCATTACAATATAGCACAAAATATGCTATTTGCTCAAAGGTAGAAGTTTCTATGGAAATCACACTCTTTTTCCAGTTCCATGGGGGGGAAAAAACCGAAAACAAACAAACAGAAAAAACCTAAAACAATTTCAAGTGTTAAATGTACTTTTAGGTTGCAATGATAGGCTTAGTGTGTCTTTGTACATTTGACTTATCTACAGGCTCATATGTGAATCTCCTAGGGTGCAGGGAAAATTAACTTTATTTGTGCTTAATATCTGGAGAATTTTGAAGAACAGATTATAATAATTCCTGAGCCCCATGGGGACTTTAAAAACCTGAGAGGGTTTTGATGTGTCCTGTTTTACTAGCATTTTTTCTTGGACAATGTACTTTCCTGCTGAAAACTGGGTGGGAGGCAAAAATCCAGAGTTGCACAAGATATTTCCATTGCTACTTCAGTAGATTAACTTGTATCTGAAAAAAAACATATGACATAGAGCAGAAGGGAAGAACTGCAGATGTTTTTACTGAGCAATGGTTTTCAAAAATAGCATATAAAATAGGCAGCTATTCCTGCAGGTAAATTATACTTTTCAGCTTTTGAAAGAATCTGGTTATTGTCAGTGTTTTAGTCACACTCTTTGGTGTGTAGTAGGCAGAGAAAGTAAAAAAATCTGCCTTGGGATTTTGCAAATATCTGCAGCTCTGATGAAGTGAAGCTGGGTGTAGCTCTCCCTGGAATCCACACTGTTCCAGAGACAGACATGGTGTAAGAGGGCAGTGTGGTCATTCAGACAGACACCATTCCCAGGGGGAAAGACATTATGTGTGCAGACACTCTGGGGTTTGCTGAGAGTTGGCCAGTGCAGGCAGGACTTTCTCAAGGCTCTGAAGAGGGAGCAACAATTTCAGGTCACCTTTAAATTCCGGGGACTAAAATGGTGACAGGGAAACGGAAGAACATTTCATGCTCTCTTGCTATGGGTGTGTAAAGGAGACAGATTTCCATATGCTTTCATCTGTCTGTCCCGTGTTCTAGGAATGAGCCGGCTCTCCTCAGGTGTCACAGGGGAGCACTCATGACTCACCCCTGTCAGCAAGGCCAGGACATGGCTGTGCCTTTGGAGAAGGTTTTGTTGGGTTTCACGTGCAAGCAGCAGTTGATTTGTCTGTCACTAGTGATGGAAGAGATTGTTTGCCCCAGAAATGTGCGCTGAGGAACCCAAACAAGGGGATTCTTGGCTTTTAGAAGTGCCAGAGATCCTTGCTACACCTGGGACCTGAAATTTTTTTTTTCTGGAAACAGATTTGCTGTTGCAAACTTCTACTGTTTCTTACCATAGCAAACCCTGTTACTCCTTCCCACCCAGAGAAACGTGTTTAATTTTAGCCACAGCCCACTCCCAGGTAAACCAGAATTCAAATTGCTGCAGAATGCAGGGGTGTGCCTGCGTTCAATACACTCATCCTGGGGTTAATCTCTCTTCATATCAGCAGCTCAGATCAGCTTCACATCTGAGCGTTTAAGTAATGTGCCTCTGAATACAGAAACACGTTCTCTTGGTACAAAGTGCCCCTGACACTTCAGAGAGAGCTGATCTGCAGGTGTGTCCAGGAATCCCTGGGTACACAGAGCTCGTTGCTTCCCTGCATCCCACTAGCCCAACCGGCACAGGTACACAGGCCAGTTTAACATGGAATTCACAAGAACCCAGGATATTTTTCAACAGGAAAACATTTTTATTGCATCGTATATTTCATTGCATTATCATGAGAAATCCGCCTCTTTACATACAATTTTCCAAAGAAGAATCATGAAAATTAGTTATTCTTTATGAGTTATGACAGTATGTCATACAAGTAGACATAAAATGTCTAAGTCTCTCCAGAACACTTACTGTTCCTTTAGATCTTGTGCATAAATACCAAATACGTCAATGTAAACTCATTTAAAAACAAACCAACTAAGCAACCTCAACATAATCTGGTTAAAAACCAAACCAGTCATGGCGCAAACCCCCACAATTTCATAGAAATTATTAAACTCTTCTAAGTATTGAATAGGGGCAAAAGACTTCAGAGGCAAAATTTGTGATTTCCTTAGACAGTATCTTGTGCAAAGAGGTCCAAGGCATTCTGCCTTAAAGGCTGGTGAGTCGGAGTAGGAAAAAGAGATTCAGCAAAACATTCTTGCTTGAGCCTGGTTTTATTCCCATGTAACCTGAACAGGCACTGAAATGCTAAGTTCCAGACAGCACTCCTGCTGTTCCTGACAGAAGGATTAAGGATTACCCCCAATCATTGGCATGATCCATTCAAACCTCTCCTGTCACATTCTCTGCAGACATTCACAAAATCACCTTCACGATGGGCCCATCTTCTTTTCAGATATTAATGCTGTTTTATAAACACTTATTGGCAAATAGTATTTGGTGAGAAGGACCTGCACAAAGGTGGAGAAAATTGAGAGAATGTTGCTGACAGGTGTCCAGCAAAGCTTCCACTGTCTTATCAAATGGATTCAATCACTTTATCTCAGTCAATAAAACCATACACAGGATTAGGCAATAACAAACATGAGGCGACGGAATGAAACATAGAACATCTGATCTACAAGCACGTGAAAACTGGAGAGGTGAGCTGTGATGTTTTCGTATCATCTGTTTCCTGGTATCGTGCAGCAAACAGGTAACTTCACTCCGAGATGCTCCTTCCCTCAAAGCTTGTTTGGTGAACTGCAACAGGCAGAAGGCAAATTGTAAAGCCAGCCAGGAAATTTTTTCCCTATGTTTTCTTGCATACACCAGATAATAAATCCCACAGGAGGTGTGGAAGAGATGCCTGATGATGATGAAGATGGAACATACTGTGGCTAGATTTTCAATTAATCAGGCATTTGTTGTGGATACCGTCCCTGACAACCTGCTGGGTTGTCTCTTCCCCGACATAGAAGCCACTTTATGGCCACATTTTTGGCGTAACTAACGAACCAGATTTCCCTACAGGAATCAATAGCAGAACGCGGCTCGTTATTCTTGCGTTTAAGCCCCTCCAAAAGCTAAGTTTGGCCCCAAGCGCTGAAGGCAGCTGGCCCGGCAGGTACCTGCGGAGGATCCTGGTGACCAGGAGCTTGACCCAGGGCGCGGCGGGGTCCAGGCAGACCTTATGTCCCTGCTTCGTCGTGGCTCTGCGGGCGACACAGGGACGAGGTGAGGCCGGGGTCGGGCCCGGGGAAGGAGCAGGGCCGGGGAAGGGGCCGACCACTTACATGACCTCGGGCACGGCGCAGTGCGGCCCCTCGGCGAGGAACTCCAGGTGAGCCAGGCGCCTCGGCGGGATCACCTCGGACACGGCTCGCACGCAGCGGCAGCGCAGCTCCCCGCCCAGCGGCGCACCTGGCAGGCGGGAGGAGCCTTCTGAGCCTCGGCTCCGGGGTGTCCCGGAACCCCCCGGCCCCCGCGCACCCCTGCCGAGCCCGGCCGAGGACGGAGGGGTAGCCCCATCCCTCCCCGCTTACCCTGGCATAGAGCGGCGGCGGCCAGGAGGAGGAGAAGCCGGAGGTGCGGGTTCATGGCTGGTACTGGCGGAGAGGGTGCAGGAGACGGCGTGGCAGCCCTCTTTCCCTTCCATGCTTTTATTCCCTGCCGGGAGCTGCCGGGGGATTTCCCGGAGTGGAGCCGGGGGGCAGTGCCCCATTGGCTCCTTCTCGCCGGTGGGTGTGTGGCCCTCAAGGAACAGGGCGGAGAGGGAAGAGCGGCCGCTCCCGGCGCGGCGGCTCCTTCAGGTCTGGGAGCGACGGGAGCGTGGCGCTGCGCTGTCCCGAGAATCGCCCAGGGTCGGCTGGGACCCCATTCTCTGGAAGGAGCTGAGGCTTTTTTGCCGGGGTTCTCCGTTGGCTTGCAGGGTGCAGGGTGCTGTGCCAAAGGGAATTTGGGTTTTGGAGCTTGCCTTGCTGCCTAACCGTGTGCAACCACGCACTCTGATTCAGTGGGCATTGCTCCCCTGAGCACCCCTTTCTTTTGAAAACAGGAAATCTTTTTTTTTCTGCAACTAGGAGACCCTCAGGTTTCCATATCTACACTCCATTTCTGTTCCACTCCTCTGCACATTCTTTTTCTCCATTCCTGTCGAGGCATTTTGCTAAATTCAGTTATAAGGAAGCAAAATAGCAGTTTTCTCTGAGCTTTTAATGAAAATGAGATGCTAGTTTTCTAAATTTTATTTACGCATAGGTTTAGATCAGTTATGGCCATCACACTTTCTTTTGTAATAAGTTTTAGTAAGAAATATAATATTGCACTTTATTTGTCTTGTTTCCGGGGTTTGTTTTTCTTTTTTGTTTTGTTTTGTTTTGTTTTAATAGCCAATCAATTTTCTTCCACAAACGTTTGTGAGCATGAGTGGGGTTCAGTAAATCAGTTTGTTCCAGGCTGTGTGTCTTGCCCCATCTGCCTGAATGCCTTAGATTAGATGTGCTGTCTGGAAACAAAACCAAGTCAGGACCTGAAACAGATGAGATACAGCAAATAAAGCAGTCCTAGCGAGGGATTAAGTAGATAGCAAGCTGATGGGATACAGAGACTCATTCCTGGGCTCCATCAGCCACAGCTCAGCTGCTTCATACAGCTGCTGGCTCAGTCCCTCAGGAGATCAGCCATTCGGTAAGGTTGTATGTCCCAAGCAAATGGTGATTGCCCTGCATTATCAGGAAATATCTGATGGCTAATTTGGACCCCTTTCCAGACACAGCTTGGTCATGACACCCTTGGAAGCAGTTGGCTTTTAGCTTGCCCTTTAAAGGCAGTTACAAGGTCACCTTAGGGACAGCCACTAGTTAGAAACTTTCACTGTGATCCCTTGGGATCCCTTGAGATCATGGAGGTGGAATCCCCATTCCCTCTGGGTTATAGCCACACAAGCTTTGGACTGCGAGTTCCCCGTACGGCTGTCCCAAGGAAGTGTCACGTTCTTTGCAGGAAGAGGCATTTGCCCAGCTGTAGCAAAGTGAGGCAATAAGCAAGTAGGATGATGCACAGATAATCTGCTTCAGGTCATTGCAGCTGTGATTGGCAGATGCAGCTCTGAATGGATGGGGGGGCCGATCACTCACTCGTTGTCACTCATGCACAGATTACACATTGTTCTTGGACACTGCACATGAGTAAGGACAGTTTGCGTGACAGCACTTGGCTTTGTGCTTGCATGACTGCTCACATGAACTGACCCATCAGACTTATTGCACAGTGGTTGCTGCTGAGGAAATTCCACAAGTCCCCTGGGGTCTGGAGCATGAGGCTGGTTTTAGACATGGAGCAGCAATGTGTGAAACTCTGCGGCCGGCTCTCCCTCGGATCCATGTGCCAAGAGGAGCAGCAATCAGGTCATGGACATGCTGCGGTGCAGCAGATGGTACAGAGCCTGGTCCTCTGAGTCAGGACTTGCACAAACAGGCCTGGAACAACGGAAATGGCGGTCTCTGGGACTATTGCAACATGGAAGACTATCTGCCTGAGCAAGGGCTGTGTACCTGCAGACTTCAGATTGCTTCTAGCTCCCTTCTGTGGGAATGTCAGTAAGGTCTCCTCAGTCCAGTTATACAACAGCACCAGCAAGGCTGAGCTCTCTCAAATTATACCCTTTGCCCTGCCTCCCTTCACCACCTTTGGCAAAGTTCCTTTAGCAATACAGAAAAGATAGGGAACAGACAGGATCACTTTAGAAAGTTGAGTTTTTTCCCTGCCTGCTGCCCAATCTCTTTCATTATAGATAAACTTGCCATGCACTGAGTGCAGGTGGTACAGATAGAATCATGGAATGGTTTGGATTGGAAGAGGACCTTAAAGATCATCTCAAATTAAGTTCAAATTAGTTATTGTGAATGATGGTGTCAGTGTAGCTGGGACAGAGCTCACCACTACGTATTTGCCTCACTGAAGTTCCCATTGAAGTCACCCACCTCTTTAGCAGAAGCTGCTGTGTGAAGATACACCAGGATTCTGTGAAATCTGTCAGGGTCCTTCATGTGGGTCTCGGGGTTACTGGGACACAGGAAGCAGTCCCAGCTCAGGCAAGCCCTGAGTAGAGACATAACGAAAATAAACATAAAGAGAATAAACCGCATGTGTCAATCGCCTTCGCATTATCCAGTCCTTAATTCATTACATGCAGGAAGTGATTCGGCTGCTTTGTTGCAGACTTTGGCTGTGTGCCTTTCCACAGCAGGTATTTGTTTCCCTTGGCACCTGTAGTGGGAGCCATTCACTGGCAGCAGGCTAAGGAGACCTACAAGGCATTTAAACAAGAGATGTCTCACTTCAACAAGTGAGGACTTCTCCTAAGTGCATGAGAATTACTTTGGAGCATGTCCCTGATCCAACCATAAGGTGAACTTTTATCATGGCCAGTCTCTAAAGGAGCAGTCTTATTTCTTTCAGCGTTTTGACTGGGAATGATTTGTGTTCTGATCCGTAAAATCTCGAGTCACTGCTACCTAGTACTGTCTAAAGTGAGAGGGGGTATATACTGCTGATATAATCTCAGCTTCTTTATGTTGCCTTTTTTACCTATACCAGTATGTTCATAGTATTCCCTGGCCAAGATGAGATGCTCTTCCCTAACACCTATGATTCCTCCTGTGGATCCAGCTCTAGCATGAAGTACAAGCATATTTGCTGAAGGCAGTAACCAAATGTCAAGCTGCAGTTTTGTGCAAAGTAAGTTTTACGCCTATCAGATGTTTTATTTCCTTCCATTTCCCTGTGTGTTTCTCAAGTTTTGAAAAGTTTCCGGTCTGTATGCCCTTAAAAATAATACCAGAGGATGTAAGACATAGAAGTGTCCTGTTGTTCAACTTGTGTCATGGAGAATCCCAACTCCGTTTTGCCAGCTGCATCGTAGCACACATCAGATGTTGTTGTGTGCTCATCTCTATAATACCTTTTGAGATGTGAAAATTCACATTTAAAATAATGATGTGTGGCAAACGATGCTCAGTATCTTCCTGCCTGCCTTCCGGCATCTTCACCAAACTAATATTCAGGACTTTTTGTTTCCCTTCCACGGAGTGAGAGGTTCTTCACCTGTGTGCAATGCTGGGAATCAGAGCGTGAACACACATGCTGTTGGTAGCTAGAAGGAATGTGTTTGTATTACTCAGGCATTACCTTAGCAAATAGAATGGGTTGGCTCTGAAATCTGTGTTTGGACATCAATTCTCCACTTTTCAGTTTCATGTGCCAACTTCCCTTTTCTAAGATCATCGATGGGACTGCAGGACTGTAGTTTCCCTGTCACCTTACTTAGTGGGACTCCTGGACATACAACAATTCCCAAAAAGTGAGTGGCTGGTGGTGGACTCACTGGTTCTGGCATATTACACCTAACATGTAAGGACAGGAGGGTTTGGGACCCAATTGTTTAAGCAATTTGTTGTTACCTTTGCTGTGGGGAAAGACTACTGGCAACTGGCAGGCATGATCCCGGACAAAGATTACAACTGTGTGACTCCTTCCACCTCCATACAATTGTTCAGTTCATAAGCCTTTGAGGTCATCACAGCTTCTAAAAGGCAGAAAGAGTCCCTCTTGGCCTTGCCAGCAGCAGAAAATGCTCTTCATCCTGTGAATTGCCTGCAGGCTCTTGCCCTTGCATCTGTGTGAATTTCATGTGCAGAAAAGTACAGTTTCCCTATCAGGACATTGTTAACTATGGTGAAGCCTTTACTTCTCATGGGGACCCCTCAGGGAAGCCGTGCAAATAAATTCCTCCCATTCTTACAGTTTTAGCCTGATAACAAAGATTTCAGTCAACTTAGAAATAAGCTGTTTGGAAATAAATACATTAAAATTTGTTCCATCTGCAGATAGTTGGAAGTAAACAAAATTTGAGTCTCTTAAAAAATGAATTATTCACCCCCTCGAAAAACCAGTCCAAAATCAACATTGCCCCCAACGTGGTTTGAGGCAATTTTGGTTTTCAGACTCAGTGGAGCTGAGTAATTTTTGGGAGTGTGCTTTGGATAGTTGTGGTCTTTTGGTTAAAGTGATAGCATCACCTGAGAAAACAGTGACATGAGACATCTGACCACAAGAAAATGGGAATTCTCGTTGGAATCATCACAAAATCTTTGAAGTCTTCTCTCATGACACACAGCCTTTAATCCTGTCTGTTACTTTCACTGGTTGTGTAGCAATGAAGGAAAAATGAAGAAGTCATACTTGACTTACACCCTAGCAGACACTGAAGCTGCTAGCTCAGGGAAAGCTTTCTTACAGCCCTTTCAGTCTCCAGTGTATTTGGACTCTGTAGTAAAAATTAATTGGATTGCTGCTGGCAACAAAAAATGGCTGCTATTTGTTGAAAGGAAGGAAAAATAATACCGATGCATTTGCATAATTGTTACCGAATTATCCAAAAATAGCCTACAGAGCAGCAAGAGGGACGTGTGTCCTTGCAGCTTGTTATAGGGAGGTGTTTAGAAAAGGAGGTGTTTGGAGGAAACACACTGATAATATTCCTGGTAAATGCGATCACCACTGAGTTTACTGTACATGGTTATCTTCCTCATTATATTGTATTTATTTCTTTTTTTTTTACTTCCTTTTTTAAAATTTCCAGATAGTGTGACTCCAAAGTGCTTCAATACATGCCGGGTACAGGACTATGCCAACACATTGTGCTAAAAGTTATGGCAACAAACATGAGCAAAGTGTTTTTTCTTTCTTAAGAACTAAGAAATTAAAATTGCTAGTGAGTGCTGCTGTCAGGAGTAATATGAGGTGGCAGGAGATCAAGCAAGCTAGGAGCATTCTATGGAAAACAAGCAGCATTCGATTTAATTAAAATTAAGCATTTTTACCTTTAGTTTTCTTCTAAACAGTTAAAGTCTCTGTAAAATGGAATTGATCGGGACATTGACTGAAAAGAATAATTTCACTTAGCTCCAACTATAATTTTGCTATGATTAGCTTAATTTAGATGCACTTTGCCCTTAGCTCTTGAACATAAGCTTGAATTTGACAAAATCCTCGCTTTCTAATGGGGTTTTTTTGTTTGTTCAAATCCTCGTTTTTCTAGGGGAGTGCTGTTCCACCAGCAGACTTTCCATCTGGATGGCCCTGGCTTCTACTCCTGGTGAACACCATTTGAACCAAACTGTACAGGTAATTTTCATGGATTTTCTTCTTCTTTTTTTAGCAGTCATTTTAGTATCAGAAGACATTGCATGCTCTCGCTCATCCTTTCCTCCAAGCAGGAATAGCATTGTGAGAACTTTGTGGCATGGAAATGAGCCTAGCATTTGGCGTGCCAAAGGTCAGGTGTGTGCAGGGAGATTGGCAGCTCTTTCCCATGTTTACTCCTCAGCTGAGTCTCCTGCTGACTTTGGTGAGAGATTTGTGTATGCAAAAACACACTTGGGTTTTCCTTGGTGGTAACAGGGAGTGTGTGAAGCTGGGTGCTCGATAGGAACCATCACCAACAAAGCTGTTTTCTTTGGCTCCTCTCAGTGAGATTGTGCTCCAGGTGAGCAGTGCTTACGTACATTGCTTCTCTTTCGCAGAATGATGGCCTTTGCTGTCAGAGGTGAAGTACCAAACAAAGAAGAAAGCAGGAAATGAGGAGCTGGTAGCCTTTTGACTACAGGGATTCAGTAAGTCAGCAAAAGTACATTAATTGGCTTGATTGTTGGTCTGCTGCTGGCAATGTCTGGCTCAGCAATGAACCAGCTGGGTGGCCGTGCATTTCTTTATTTGATAAGTCAAACACAAAGTCTTCAAAGAGTCAGGTTTTTTAACAAGTCACTTGCTCTTCACTGTTTGTATTGAGTGACTAAATGCCTTTCACACAGAGGTCTGACACCTGCGTGGACAAATTCATACTTTTCAGTAAGATCAATAGATGCCAGGGGGTGTTTCACATTCTGCCCTTTGGTCCTTTTCTGGCTTAGTATGTCTTGCTTTGCCTTTATTTTTTACTTTTGCAAAAGCCTGACCAAAGGGAGAACAGGAGTCATTCGTCTGTTGCTTATGTTTATCTGCTGCTATGGCAGGTGGCTGTGCTCTTCTGAGTACCTGTGAATAGCTACTGACTTTCAGTTGGACACCTTGCCTTTTAACTCTACTGTAATTGTTTCATCTGTGCCTGTGCCACAGTGGCTCATTCTCACACGTTCTTACTCCTTCAAGAAGTTCTGCATCGAGTAAAAAGAAGCCCATGTGTCCATGCTCTCATTCACATGATGCTTTAGACACGTACACTTCAGACAGAAATGGTATTCTGAGCTTTTGCAATTTTATTGACATTTTGGCTTTAGCGCAACAGTTGAATTCTGAGTCTCCTGTCTGCTTGCAAACTTGTAAAAAGTGTGACCTTGAAAACAGAAGAGGAAAAGAAGAATTGTCAGTATTTTTGAAGTCTCCTTCTTTCTGTGCAAACATGTAATACATGCCTTTAATAAAAGAATCAGGCTAAGAGGGTGGACTAATTCATTTGCTTCTCTTATGAGCTATGAAGCTTTCATCATTCTGGAAAATTATTTCAAGGAAAAAGCTAGAAATCGTGAATCTTAGGATTGCAGTGCGAATGTTACTTCAGTGCTTAATTTTTTCTTTTAATACTGGCATTTTGTATTTAGCTGAGACAGAAAAGCTGCTTAAATCTTCTCCACAAAAAAAGAAGGCTCCTTTGGAGGTAAGCTGGTTAACTAGGTCCAAATATGCTCTCAAGCCACTTCCCTAACGACTTCTTATTTCCACAGGCTTTTATAGGGTATGGTATGAACAATTTTCTGCAAAAGGTAAAAAGATTAGATTTTCTCCAGTTCACCTGTCCTCTAGTCAGGAATAGGAGAAGTCGACAGACTGATGCTGGAGTTGCAAATGTGCACTTTGGGTGGTGCAGTCTTACTTTACACTTCTGCTAGTGTCCCTGGCTGAGTAGGTGGAGATGGGATCTGGAAAACCTACTGTAACGCTTTTTCAAAAAAATATTGACCACATTCCTCCTGAATCTGAACTTCCATGGAATAAGGTAATTGTACCTATCAGAGGTTGATGCTTGTTAAAATAAGTGATATTTGTTAAAATGATGAAAAGCTATTCAGCATAGCTACGTTGAAATCTGCCTGCAGAAGGTTGTAGAGATGTCACACTGCTGCCTGTTTCATAAAAGGGCAGAGGGAACAGTATCAGTGAGTCTGGTTATATCTATAACCTTCCAGATTCTTCCACATAACCTTCCTCTCCAGAATTCCACAGGAATTGTGAAGCAGTCTTTGCACTGACTGGCATCCATGGCTGTCACTAGAAGTCATTTAACTGCAGGTAATATTAAAGTCACTTTTAATGACAGTTTTCACCAGCAGAGATCTCAGAATTATTTTTATAGGTGGCAAAATTCTTGTTTCACTTGTGCACACAGAAACAAAATGCCTAGTTGCTCACTCCAAACTTTCCATAGCACTTTGTGTAATTTCCAAAGGATCAATTTCCTATAGAGTTGCTCGTGATACCTTGTTATAAACAAGAATAAATGCTAGAAACAAATCTGCAATATAAAGTCTGTCCCATACCTTATTTTCCTGGGGAAAATGGGATTTTCCCTTGTTATGTGATAAGAACAGAAGAAAAGCAGTCATTTTAGAATGGGAAGCAGTCCATAATATTTTAAAAGCCAGCAAAGCATGGATCATGCATTTTTCACCTAACACAAAACCAGGATGTTTATGTTAGCCAACATTATGTTTATGTTAGCCAACAATCAGCACAGACAGAGAAATTCAGGCTGGGAAACTCGTGTTTGCATCCTCTGTTCTTCTAAGGAAGAATTAGAAGTATTTTTCAGGGACTTTCCAGTATTTCTTGCCATGACTTCCTCTATAGTTTGCAGTGTTTATACATTAGAGAGGAATATTACTTTCATTATTACAAGGACAGCAACCACAGAAACTCCAGGGGACAAATTGCAATTCTCCATACAAGAGCAGAACTCCAGCAGCCAGGCATGGGAAGGGGCGTTTGAGGACAGGGAAATGGCAGGTGGTCTTGGCTTGGTCAGATGGTAGCTGCCACTTCTCTTGCCCCCCAAACGAGCCTGTTGTGAAAAAAAAAGAACATAAAGGTGGTTTGAAAGGAAGTTGAAGTAAGGGGTGGAAGACAGGAAGGATATGTATATACCTCTGCTGCATTTCATGGTGTGGAGGGCACTGCAGTGAAAGGAAGGTGATGAATGCATGGCTTCTGCATGGTCTGATAGCTGCAGGGTCACAGGGCACACTGCTTAAAGTGGCCAAACTCTTCTAGCTGATGCCAAAATAGCTATGGTGAAGGAGAGGACAGGCCTCAGTCTTACTGAGAAGGGTCTTGAAGAAGAAGCCAGCCAGAGACAGCTGTCTTATTTTATGAGCACCATGTTACCCAGCAAAAATCCTTCTGCTGTCTTATTACTATCTAGATTGCAGATAAAAGTGAAATACAAGGGTGCATTCCTCAAATAAGCTTATACTATATATAGCATATAAAGTTATACTCTAGTTAAAAGCAATGGTCTTTGAACTTATGTCCTTTCTCTCTTATTCCCTGTTTCCTTCTGGAAGATTTTTAAGGGAGGCAAGGCATCATGTGTTTAGCAGACTGCACTTCAGGGATCAGAATAGGAAGCAGATGTTACACTGGGACAAGTGCTTGCTCTTTGGGTACCCAAAGTAAAGGTCACAAATTCCCATCTTGGTGGTCAGATAGTGGCCTTCTGTTGTAGTAAAGATTTACAACTGTGGGGCTGAAGTGGACACTTAGCAGTGTTTAGGCATCTGGGAGTAAAACTCTTTTATCTGCAAGGGAATTAAAGAAAGGGCTTGTCTCCAGAACCCACCAGCCCCCGTGGATTGGGAACAGCCTGAGGAGAGGAGAGTGAGCCACTCACCCCACCCTAAGAGTCTGTAAGTGTAGTCAGGAGTGCCAGGTAACCATAGCAAGGGAAAGTTATGGTACCATGGACTTAAAAATTTTCATTTCGGTTCCAGAAATCAGGGTGGCAAAAAGAAAGCAAAATTTTCTAATAAAGCAAATGAAAATGCAAAAGATCAAAGAGATAACAAATGGGTTTTTTTAAATATAAAACTTTTAATAGTGCATTTATAGGAATAATTACACTCAATCAAACTCTCTGTATGTAAAATGTAGTTTTTTCCATTAGCTGATGGACTAGCTAATTAAACATACAAAAACAAGTACAGAGTAATGAGATTGTGAATATTTCTCCAGAAATGAATAGCAGGAATGAAAAATCCAGTAGAAATTAAATAAATTATAACTGTTTCCTTTTTTACATAGAAACTACTCAATAAATACAGTTATAAATACCGTGGAAATCACAATACATAAATAACAAATACAGTCTTAGGTTAGGTTTTTCAAGTTAGACGTTACGGTTCACAGTCTGGCCACAGGCTGACTGTGGTTCAGGAAGCTGTTGTTGACACAACATACTGGTGCACTCCAGGGGAGCAGGAGGATTCATCAGTTTGCTGGTGAAATAGCAAAATTATCAGGCTTAGTGTAAATAAGCTGTGCTGCAGGTGCTTTGCACCTCACTGCATATGTTTGGCTCAAGTGGCTGCCAAGGGTTCTCAATCTCCTTCAGCAAACCACTTTTCCTTCAGTGTCACAGGCAGCATGTCCCATGGACAGCACTGGCCATTGTGACAGACTTCCTTAAATACATACAGTTAAATAAATAGATAAATAAATAAAACCACCCATAGTTAACATCATAACACTGATGCAGGATGTGGAAGATGGTGAACTGCTTGAGTGATGCTTTTCCCAAACATTTCCCTTGGCAGAAGAGCAGAAGCAGTTCCCAGATCTTTTCTGTCCCGGTGTTTCTTAGAGGGGAGAGTCAGAATTTTGTTGAGCCCTGTTAAGAGGTGAGAGAAGAGGATAATTTAAAAGAAGGTTCAAGTTACCACTGCTTAGCATTGTACAAACAATTTAGGATGCGGGGGTCTCTTTCCCATTCTTTGTGCTATCTTGAAGCACAGGGAGAATAAAGTTGATGTTTTGAAAGCAACTACTGAAATCCCAGCATGTGCATGCCTAGTGTCCAGCTGGGAAATCTCTGTAGCAAGAGCTCCTGCAGTTACTCACAGCAAGAACCTCATTAGCTCAGAAATAGCAGCTAAGTAAGGGGAAGATGACTTTTTTAAAGCCTTGTTTTTCAAAGGGAGGCAAACGCTTCTGTGCTTCCCTGCAGGTGGAGTTGCTGGTACTCAGAGGTTTGGTGCTGACATATCAGCCTGAGCAAGGACCCTGAAGCACAGTCAGAAAAACTTAGACTGATTCTGTATTTAAGCAGGAAGCTTCCCTGTTCTTTAAATCGGATTAAGAAAGAATGGGAAGTATCACTATGGAATCCTTCAAAGTGGCTTTTTCCGGGAGATTTGCCACTCAGCTGCCCAGATAAAGAGGGAATGGGACTTACCTGGCCAAAATTGCCTTTACAATCAGCTGTACCCAGGGAGCAGTGGGCTCCAAGCACACCTCTTTGCCATCCTTCAGAGTAGCTCTGCAAAACAAGGAATAAAGAAAAGTCAGGAGAATACTACATGGATTGGTTTTAGTCACAGAATGTGATCCTTCATTTTTAGATCAGATAGTATAAATGGATCCCAGCTACTCTAGGCTAGACTTGGCTGTTTTGCTTTATGCGCTATGCAACTGAGGGGACCAGAATCATCCAGAATTGTGTGGGTCTCTGTGTCTGCTCCCAAAGCAG